TCTTTCTTCCCCCCTCAATTCCCCCTTCCCTCCGTCCCTCCCTACTTTACCCTTCTCTCTTCCCTCCCTCAATTCCCCCTTCCCTCCCCCCTTTCCCTCCTCCTTCCCTCCCTCCTCTTCCTCCTCAATCTCCAACCTCCCTTTCTCTCTCCCTCCTTTCCTCTTCTACCTCCCTCCCCCCCCCCCCCCTCCCTCCCTCCCGTCTCTCCCCCTTCTCTCTTCTCCCTCTCAATTCCCCCTTCCCTCCCTCCCTCCCTCCCCATTCTCTCTTCCCTCCCTCCCTCCCTCCCTCCCCCTTCTCTCTTCCCTCCTTCCTTCAATTCCCTCTTCCCTCCCCCCTCCCTCCCGTCCCTCCCCCTTCTCTCTTCCCTCCCTCAATTCCCCCTTCCCTCCCCCCTCCCTCCATCCCTCCTTTCCCCTTCTATCCCCCTTCCCTCTTCCCTCCCTCCTTCCCTCCCTCCCTCCCTTCCCCCACCCACATACTCGTAGAGGGAGGAGAACGGAGGAGTTTACTCAGCATTCAAGTTTGAAAAAAAAGATACCCAACGTTTAAAAAAAAAAAAAAAAAAAAATCAAATAAAATAAAAATAAAAACAAAAATAAAAACACAGCTGTTCGAGGCAAATTTATCGGCGATGCAAGTGAACTTAGACAACTCATGGGCGTGTCTGCCTCGTTGTCTGGTCCTCCCTCTCGCTCTCTGTCTTGCTTTATTCTCTCGGCGGTTCTTTTGGGGCTGTTTTGGTATCGGTTCTGTGGCTAAACTTGGGTAGGTGGGTATATATAGGTGTGTGGGTGGGGTTGCGGGTGGGGTATGGGTGTGGGTGGGGTATGAGTGTGGGTGTGTGGGTGGTGGGGGTATGGATGGGTGTGGTGTGTGTGTGTTTTGGGGGTGGGGGGGTTGTGTGTATGTGGGTGAGTGGAGGGTTAATGGGTGTGGAGTGTGAGTGTGTGTTTACGTGCGTGTGTGTGTGTGTGTGCGTGGATGGGTGTGGCGTGTGTGTGTGTTTACGTGCGTGTGTGTGTGTGTGCGTGGATGGATGTGGAGTGTGTGTGTGTGTTTACGTGCGTGTGTGTGTGTGTGTGTGTGTGCGGATAGGTGTGGAGTGTGTGTGTGTGTTTACCTGCGTGTGTGTGTGTGTGTGTGTGTGCGTGGATGGGTGTGGAGTGTGTGTGTGTGTGTTTACGTGCGTGTGTGTGTGTGTGTGTGTGTGCGTGGATGGGTGTGGAGTGTGTGTGTGTCTGTAGTTGTGTATGTGTGGAGTGTGTGTATGTGTGTGTGTTTGCGTCTGTGTCTATACAAATATAAAACATGACCTCAATACATTCAGGAATATTTGTCTTAAAAAAAACTGCACCAAAATAAGGAAAAAAAAACTAAATAAACTTACCCCCACCCAAAAAAAAGAAGAAGAAAAAAAGTCTAAATGAACTTACCTATAAAAAAGAAAATGAAAAATTAAAAAATATATATACACAGGCTTATTAATAACATATCACGCAACGATACTTGGCTTAGCGACAGAGTTCAAGATTTAATTGCTTGTAGGCGTAACGAAAAGAAGAGTATAGAAAAAGAAAAAGAAAAGTAAAGAAAAAAAAAAAAGAATGTTCAGCCTCATTTGAATTTAACGTTTTTTTTTTTTTTTGAGGGGGGGGGTTTGCTATTTTCCTCTCTCTATTTTACATTGTTTGAATTCTGGGTTTCCTTGTTTTATTTGTCGGTTTATGGAATTTGACAATGAAAAAAGGTTCGCGTTTGGTAAGTATTCACAGAGTTATTTGGGAGATAAGTTTCAGGAGAAATAATTGCTTTTACTTCTTGAATAATATGTGTCGGTTAAAATATGTCGTGAAAACCATGACCGCTGTTCCATTTTCTTTTATTTTTCTTTCTTTGTTCATTTATCTATTTATATGTATTTTATTTTATCTATTTTTATTTTATTTTTTTTTTGGGGGGGTGTTGTCGAGAAATTTCTCAGATTACATATGAATGTTTAATTTACTATGGTAACCCGACTCTCTTAATCTCTCTCTCTCTCTCTCTCTCTCTCTCTCTCTCTCTCTCTCTCTCTCTCTCTCTCTCTCTCTCTCTCTCGCTCTCGCTCTCGCTCTCGCTCTCTCTCTCTCTCTCTCTCTCTCTCTCTCCCTCTCTCTCTCTCTCTCTCTCTCTCTCTCTCTCTCTCGCTCTCGCTCTCTCTCTCTCTCTCTCTCTCTCTCTCTCTCTCTCTTTCTCTCTCTCTCTCTCTCTCTCTCTCTCTCTCTTTCTCCATCTCTCTCTCTCTCTCCCTCTCTCTCTCTCTCTCTCTCTCTCTCTCTCTCTCTCTCTCTCTCTCTCTCTCTCTCTCTCTCTTTCTCCCTCCCCCCCCCCCTCTCTCTCTCTCTCTCTCTCTCTCTCTCTCTCTCTCTCTCTCTCTCTCTCTCTCTCTCTCTCTCTCTCTCTCTCTCTCTCTCTCTCTCTCTCTCTTTCTTCCTCTCTCTTTCTCTTGAAAGAAAA